ATGGGAGGACTGTGGAGAAGTGAGACAGGACAGGACCTCCAGAGGGGTCAGCCAGAGACACTGCAACCGGCCGACTAAGCGGCGTGAGTGTGGTGCGGTCCTGAAAGAAGGAGCGAGAAGCCCCAGAGTCAAGGGTGAAGGTGAGGGAGGCCGAAGCCGACGCAGTACGTGAGAGTGCAGACTCACCAGTACCTGAGGACGCAGACGCACGAGCACCTAGAGCAGCAGCGTCGCAAGCACCTAGGGCAGCAGCCTCACCAGTACCTAGAGCACCAGTCTCAATGCCCGGATCGGGCGAGAAACACCGGTAACAGTCACCCTCATCACTAATAGTCACAGCTTACATGGCAGAAAGGATAGCATCAAAATCAAGATCATAGATGGCAACTCCCGCCCTAGACAGCTCTCCCCAGCGAGGGATCTCCGTAGCCTCAGGGAACTGGTGACGCCACGCGTCCGTCAGGCGGCCAAAGCAGCGCTGGGTGGGGTGCGCACCCCCACACTGCTCACCCGTACGGTCGCCGGTGCGCAGGACGTAGGTGCATGGACCAAAACCCCCACCCCGCTGGCGTGCAGTGTACCACTCACGGAGCTGTTGAGGGGACAGGGTCTCACGACCGCGCTGCTGCTGCTGGCGCGGACCACCACCGGAGCCCCTCCTCTGCGTAGACCCGCGACCAGCTCCACCGCCACCTCCACCGCCTCCGCCGCCTCCGCCGCCTCCGCCACCACCGCCGCCTCCGCCACCACCGCCGCCTCCGCTACCACCGCCGCCTCCGCTCCCTCCGCCACCGCCGCCGCCTCCGCCTCCACTGCTGCCACCGGTACCCCCACCCCCACCACCACTCCCACCACCACCCCCACTCCTTCCACCGCCTCCACCGCCACCTCCACCGCCCCCGCCAGCTCCTCTAGCTCCCTTGCCCCCCTTGCCCTTGCCTGTGCGGCGCTTCCCCGAAGGGGCAGACGCAGCACCGACCGACTCAAAACCAACGAGGTCGGCCGCAGCAGCAGAAGCAACAGATGGCAAGAAGGGGGAGGGAGAACACCCCTCAAAGACAGGGGTGCGGGGGTCACCACGAGAGGCTCCTACAGCGACTATGCTCTTCTCCGCCACTAGGAGGGCCGTCTCGAGGAGGTCAACGGTGAGAGTGGTGGGGCACACTACGAGGAAGTGGTCCCTGACTACGCGAAGGGAGTCAGGGAGTCGGGTGACTATGTAGTAGAGGGTGATATACATGGGGGGGTGGGGTTCTTGGCGCAGAAGTCAGCAGGAAGCGCAGCGCGGTAGCGAGTGTCACTAGTGCGGAGGTGCGTAATGAGGTCAGCAACTGTGGGAAAGGCAGCAAGGTCAGGGAAGAGGTACGGTAGCATGAGACGGCTCAGTGCAGCAGTGGCAGGGGAGGAGTAGCGTGCAACTACAGCGTCGTACAAGGTCTGAGCACTCTTGTACTGACTAAAGTGCGCACGCTCGGAGGTAGGGAGGTGGCGACGCACAGCAAGACGTGCAGCAGCGTCGCGCGTGGCCCACTGGGAGCGAACAATGGCGTCAGCATCAGCAGCAGGGGCAGGAGAGGCGCCAGAGGTGAGGTCAAAGAGAGAGTGACCGTCTGCCCTATCGAACTGTAAAAATAGCTGCAGGTCATCTACCCAGATGTCAAAGTCAATGGCTCGACCCTCAACGTCAAAAGCGAGGACACTAGGGGTAGCCATGACCACAGTAGACTAGCAGTGCAACAGTAGGGTGAGGGCAGTGCAGTAAAAGAGGCATTGTGCTTACCGGACAGGGCAGCTCGGGCGGCTCGGCAGTAGGGCGGCTCGGCGGCTCGGCTACTAGGCGGCTGGGCGGCTCGGCTGCAGTGCGGCTCGGCGGCCCGGCGGCTCGACTGTACGGCGGCTCGGCTGCTGGGCGGCTCGGCTGCAGGGCTATTCGGCTGCTGGGCGGCTCGGCTGCAGGGCGGCTCGGCTGCTCGGCTGCTGGGCGGCTCGGCGGCTCGGCTGTCTGGCTACTCGGTTGCCCGGGCGGCTAGGCGGTGTTGCTGCAGGGCAGCGCGGCGGTCGGCTGCTCGGCTGGGTGGGGCGGGTTCGGCAGCTCGGGTGGCGGGCGGCGCTGCAGCAGGGGACGCGGCCGCAGATGAGAGCGGCGGGGCCGTAGGTGAGAGCGGCGGGGCCGCCGGTGAGAGCAGCGGGGCCGCCGATGAGAGCGGCGGGGCTGCAGGTGAGAGCAGCGGGACCGCCGATGAGAGCGGTGGGGCCGCAGGTGAGAGTGGCGGGGCCGCAGTTGAGGGCGGCGGGGCCGCAGGTGAGAGCGGCGGGGCCGCAGGTGAGAGCGGCGAGGCCGCAGAGAAGGGCGGCGGGGCCGAAGTTGAGGGCGGCGGGACCGCAGCAAAGGGCGGCGAGGCCGCAGTTAAGGGCGGCGGGGCCGCAGTTGAGGGCGGCGGGGCCACAGTTGAGGGCGGCGGGGCCGCAGTTGAGGGCGGCGGGGCCGCAGTTGAGGGCGGCGAGGCCGCAGTTGAGGGCGGCGGGCCGCAGGTGAGGGCGGCGGGGCCGTGTAGCTGGACGGCGGGGCCGTGAGAAGGGCGGCGACGGGCCGCTGCAAGGGCGGCGAATCGGGGCCGCTGGTGAAAGGGCGGCGGATCGGGGCTGCAAGGGCGGCTGATTGGGGCCGCGGGTAGCCGCTAGGGCGGCGCGACGCGGCCGTTAGGGCGGCGCGACGCGATCGTAAGGGCGGCGCGACGGGCCGCTAAGGGCGACGCGACGGGCCGCTAAGGGCGACGCGACGGGCCGCTAAGGGTGACGCGACGGGGCCGCTAAGAAGGGCGCGACCCTAGGCACGCTTCGGGCAAGGGCAGGACGTGCCCCGGGCAGGTAAAAAAAAGGGGATCGGTGGGCCCTAAGAACAGTTCCCACGAGGGAACCTGCTCCATACCATGAGAAAGTAAGAACGAGAATGAAATGAACTATGAATGAAGTGGGTACAAGTACTAACCCTAATTGGGTTGTACCCCCTATGGGATACCCCACTACAGCCTACACAAAAGCATAAGCTATAAATGTTATGACATAAAAAACAGGCTTCCGATATTTTTACCCTTTCGCAAAAAATAACAATTTTTGAAAGTGTAACACTTTCTAAAATTTCGTATTGTGAAAGCGGCAACATGGCCAACGCAGGAAAGGTAGCGGTTCAACGCTACTCACCCCTCTTTTGCCTACAAAAGAGAAACGTTGGCTCACTCGCCTCACCCACGTTCTTCATTTTTCAAGTTTCTAGTTTTACTTTCCCGTTCTCGTCCATCCTGACGAAGACGCAAACCCTCCCGCGGTTCAAGGCCCCGACTACTCTGCTTACCAAAATTCTTCAGCACAACATCGCGAGCATGGCGCCCGCAAATACGACACTTAACCAAGATGCGGATAAATCGACTGCCGTCATCACCCGGATAGTAGACAGTGTTGAATAGTAGACAGGGGTTGTCTATTATCCGGGTTGTCTATAAACAGGCTAGCCTCATTATAAGACACCTATTTGTCTGCACGAGTTTAGCCACTGTAAGGGTTAGGGGCAATTGTATGACGAGGGGGTATCTTTTAAACGGTTCTTTGTCAATTTATAAGACTTATAAGACAACCAAAACCTCCCCAAATACAAGATAATCCAAGCATTTTTTCTAGTGTACAAGATAAGGCATATATGTCTTGTATCCGGGCGATGACGGTACCCCGAATAATTCTGCGGAGCCTGCACACGCGACCGAGGCAGCCGACCGCCGCGGAAAACGCCCTGCCGAAGAAAATTTCGACGAGGGCCCGTCATCTGTGGAGGTTCTGCTCGGTAGCAACACTCGAGCCACCTCCGAAGAAGCACGCGCGACTGTTTCCCAGTCGCGCGTCCCTCCTGCCGAGGACCGCTCGGCCCCCAGGCAGCCGCGCGGTCCCCCTAAGTCAACGCCGGCCAGCGCGGACGGCGTCATCATGACCGACGCTAACCATCCAGGCCCCATGTCGTAGAAGCGACAGAAAGCAGCCATGTCAGCTGAAATTGGCCCAGCCAACCCCCGCGCCTCCCTCACTGCACAGCAGCTGCAGGCTCTACTCTTGATATTGCAGCAGCAAGCTCTAGTTACAGTCGCAACTTCAACCGACTACATTTCAGTGCCTGCAAACAATGAAAAACCGAAAGAATCCGTCGCCCCTTTTCGTGCAAACAAAGCGCATCCCGTCAACTACACCGCTGCAGCAACCCTTCCCGCTCCTGCACCGGCGCCGATCGCTGCTCAAGACGACAGCGACAACTCGGAGAACGAAGATGGTGAGGCACCTAACAACATTACCCATCGTCGCATTATCGCACCCGCACCCCCTCTCCCACCCCTCAACCCCACACCCGCAGCCACCACCTTCATGCGCAAAGGCGTGCGCGATCAGGCGGAAGTTTTTTCTGCCATCCAGGCTCACTTGAAGCACGTCGAATTCAAGCTCCAGCACAGTGACATTGAAGGTGCCCTCTCCAACGTCGAGGAAATCGAGACACTAATTAGTAAGCACTTTGAAGTCCTCTTGGTGGCGGACGAGGCCGGCTTCGAGGCTGCCGATCGTTTTCAGCTGTACCAGTCCAAGAGCGTCCTCACCTCACGCTCATACAAGCTCGCAGTTGCGGATGTGGCGGCGCTCAAGCGTGCTCGCACCGGCTACACCCGTGGCAACTGTATGCCCACCCGAGACGTCGACATGGAAGGCAAGGGCATGCCGCCCGCAAATTGCCATGAGCCCCGCTTCAAAGGGGTGTGCTTTCGTTGTGGCCAGCCTGGCCATATGGCAAATGCTTGCCCTATGGGAGGGCAAGGCGCTCAAGGCCCCTCACCCGTGGTGTGAGGAGCGGTGCCCCTTGCCACTATGCCGGGGGGAGTAGGTGGGAGCACCAATGGAGCATGGCTGGTAGTTCGCCATTAGAAGGATATGGGCTGGAGGCCATAGAAATCCCTGATTGTAGGGCAGAAATGGGTATAGGAACTGTCAGAATCCCAACCACTAGACCATTGGGATAAAAGGGCTTGTTTGTGTAGTGGGTAAGTGCGCCCATAACCCCCCAGGCCAGCGTGCCTGTAACCCTTCCCTAGGATCAATCGGGGATCACCAGTGGACCTCTGATAGGAACATGCCATATACCCACATGTGGAATTAATGCAATAAGTTCTTGCTAACTTCAGGCATGAAAAGCCCCAAGACACACACGGGAGAGAAGAAAATCAGAGGAGAAAGGACTAGGAAATGAAAAGAAGCGAGAGAGAGAGAGAGAGGGAGAGAAAGAGAGAGAGAGAGAGAGAGAGAGAGAGAGAGAGAGAGAGAGAGAGAGAGAGAGAGAGAGAGAGAGAGAGAGAGAGAGAAAGAGAGAGAGAGGGAGGGAGGGAGATGGAGAGAGGTAGAGAGGGAGAGAGGGAGAGAAGGAAAGAGGGGGAGAGGGAGAGAGAGAGAGAGAGAGAGAGAGAGAGGGAGGGAGAAAGTGAAAGGGAGTAAGAGGACAGTAAGAGGGAGATGAAGATGGACCTCATGGATGAGGAGGCACAAAAAAAAAAAGTTTTTGCAGCCCATTATTCCGACCAAGGGGCTTGCATAAGGATGAGGGGTAACCAATAAGACATTAAAAAACAAAAAAAAAATCAAAGGGCGAGATGGCATAGGGACTTACGGAAGGAGGTGCTATCCCACATACGTACAAGGCCCCCAGGCCTGTCCCATGACCAAAGGCTAACCACCCAATACGCTCTACCCCGGATGTCCCAACTCGCAGTGGCTTACGACAAAGGGCAAGAAGTGGAGTGGGACCCATACGAGAACGCGGTCATGGACGAAGCGGTGAAGGTCATGCGCAACCGATTGCGGAGCCGACTCCATTGGTGGCTATCATGGTGCGAGAACAGCTTTATCATATCAATCATCGCGAGGGGCTATTGGCTGCCATGGAAAAACGGCGAACCACCACCGTTCGAAACCGCAAACCATGCCGGTGTCCACGCACACACGACATTCACGCGAGAGGCCATTCGCGACCTCATCACATCAGGCGCCGCGTTGAAGGTAGCCTCGCAAATTGCGCTCTCGTGCGTAAGCCCACTCAACGTAGTGGAGCAACGCGACAAATGCCGCCTCATCCTCGACCTATGCAAAGTCAATCAACACCTTCAAATCCCCAAATTCAAGTACGAGGGCTTGAATCGGGTTTCAGAGATCATTCGACGCAACGACTGGATGTTCACCGTCGATCTCAAATCAGGTTACCACCACGCCGAGATGAATCCCGCGTGCTGGAACTTCCTGGGCTTCCAATTCGAGGGCGAGTTCTACTGCTTCTGATCTTTGCCATTCGGATTAGCAACAGCACCGTTCGTCTTCACCCAGCTGATCAAACAGTTGGCCAAACGTTGGCGGGCACGCGGAGTGCGCATGGTCCCCTACGTCGAGGACTCGCTATTTCTTTGTGATTCCGAGGAACAGGCATGCAAGACATGTACCAAGGTCCTACATGACCTAGGAGCAGCGGGCTTTGTGATTAATGAAAAGAAATCGCACCTCCATCCAGCTTAGCAAACACGCTTCTTGGGGTTGGAGTTAGACACGGCATGCGGCATGTTTTGCATTGGACCAGAACGGCGGGTGCACTTCCTAAACACGCTCAACATGCTTATCTCCAAAGGACAGCTCGGCCAACAAGTCCCAATTCGGCAAGTCGCTCGTATCACCGGAATATTGAGCTCCATGTCTCTCGCATTGGGCACGACAGCTCACGCATTCACCCACGAGTTGCTCTAATTAATCGATGCAACGACGTCCTGGAACGCCAGGGTCAGGCTGCCACGGGCATCCATAGAAGAGCTAATTTTCTGGCATCTGCACTTTGACCAGTTCAACGGTGCCCCATTCCACCTGAGTCATCAATTCAATGCCGTCATCCACGTGGATGCAAGTGCCCACAGCTGGGGTGCCACCCTCACCAAGTTTGCCGGCACATCATACGAGGCAAGCGCCAGCATGCCAAGCGAGCTTCTCCAAACCTCAAGCACCCAAAGGGAGCTCGAGGGAGTCCTGTGGGCGCTGCAGATATTTGCAATCCACATCGCAACCGACCACGTCTTGGTTCGCGTGGACAACCAAGGAGTCATGTTCATCTTGTGCAAAGGGGGGTCCAGCCAACCTCGGCTAATACTAACATGTCAGGCGGTGATACAGTTCTGCCTCAAGAACCATACGCGCCTCGCAATCGAATGGATCCCAAGGGAGCTGAATACCCATGCGGACGAACTCTCTAAGATCCATGACCACGATGATTACTCGCTGCATATGCCATGGTTTCTCGTGCCTATTTGCGAACAACCGCAACAAGAAGCTATAGCGATTTTGCTCAAAGATACCACACCCAAGCGCCGCCGCAATCAACGCTTTCTCGATCTCCTGGGAAGGCGAGCGCTGCTTCGCCTTCCCGCCCCCCAGCTTGATCCCGGCCACACTCTCGCACGCCAGGCGTACACGAGCCGAGCTAACACTGGTTGTACCTAAGTGGTCGGGAGCATCGTGGTGGCCGCTACTCCAACCAGCCCCACAAACATAGGCCCTAGAAGTAATCGCATGCATGCCCCTCGCCCAAGGAAGCCAATGCCTCCGACCAGGGTCACACGCAACAGCATTTTCTGGACTAGGATTCCCTCATAGCTCAATAATTGCCTTGCATGTAAATAACGACATGTAACTAACAATGTACCGTTATTTCTTACAGGACTATTGGCAGGGCTTCAAAAGCAATTACTACAAGTTATCAAGGATGTTCAAGCGCCGTCCACGATCGAGACATACCAGTCATACAGGCAAAAATTTCGCAACTTCTGCACCAAAGTTCACCTAGCCTTCCTACCAGCGACGGACCTCACGCTAGCACTCTACCTAGTCCATGCTCTGAACAACAAGGCGACCATTTATGCGATCAACCTCACGTGTTCCGCAGTAAACTTCGCACATCGGATGACTGGCGAGGCGTCCCCCACGAGCGGTCTATTCACACTGCAGGTGCGAGAATTCGCGAAACGACATGGCATCCATCCGACAAGGACCAAGGAACCTGTGTCGCTCTATCAGGTGCACAACATGGCACGACCCTTCTTGGACTCGACAGTGCCAGCAGAATATCAGAAAGGCTTGATCCCGCTCTTGATGTTTGCAGCGTTCTTACGCTACTCGGACCTCATTTCTCTTCAATGGAACGACATACAGTTTGAAGAGTCAGCAATGTGGCTCCTGATCCCCTACTCCAAGACGGATCAAGAAGGCAAGGGCATGTGGATCCCGGTCACAGCAACAACAGGGCCCTACTGCGCAGTGAGGTGCACACGCGAGTTCATTCGCATAGCAGGCCTCGCGAACGTACCCCAGGGGCCTCTGATCCGGGTGTTCAACAAAGGTGCACAAGCTTCCCCACACGATAAATCACCTTCGTATACAACAATCAGGAGCTGGTGCCTCGAGGCCTGCAAGAAGGCAGGGATAGACATTACGCACATCGGGACCCACTCATTCCGCAAAGGCGCAGCAACAGCAGCAGCCGCCCTAGGCATCCTCGACCGCCTCTTCAAACGAATGGGCCGGTGGCGAAGCGACGGCGCGAAGGACCTTTACGTCACCATCGCTCAAGACCAACTCATTCGAAGGATCCGCACATGTAGGGGAAGTGCAGCGCACGCTCTTCATTCGCGAGCGCCGATGACTAATGATGCTCGCAACCCTCCGACACCCTTGCTTGCTTGGCAATAGGCCCAGACAAGCGCAGCCACGTGACCCGGTGGAAGAAAAACGCTCTGAACGAGCGCTTCCAGCCTCAAACCGCGCAAAGATCTGCCCATGTGGAAGATGTGCAGCAGGCGCTTATCATTCGCGAGCGCCGATGGCCGCTGATGCTCGCAACCCTCCCACGCCCTTGCTGGCTTGGCAATAGGCCCAGAAAAGTGTTGAACAAGGAATGAATTGACTAAGGATGAAATGAGTACAAATATGGAAACCTAGAAATGTGTACCCCCTATGGGCTAACCCACTATAGCCTAAACAACTATAACAATATATATAGTGTTTGACACACCCCCATAGGCGAAGTGGGGGAGAACTAGGGGTCACAAGACCAATCAAGTAAAGCAAAGCAAAGCAAGCTCAGGGTGGATCACAATGTCACCACACAATCCGAGCACAAGCTCAAGGCCACAAGGCCAGTTCACATGCAGGGGTACATATATATATATATAAGACTAAACAAGCAAGAGCAGTGATATATATATGTAACAGTACAAAGAGGGTCAAGAGGAGAGCAAGTGAGGCAAGACAGACACAAGACCCAGCTGGGTACAGCAGCGCTGATGATCACAAGGCGGAAGTGCCTTGGTGAAGACATCAGCAGTGTTGGCCTCAGAGGCCACGTACGCAAGTCGCAACTGACCACGCTGCTGTAGCTCACGAGCAAGGAAGTAGCGGAGAGCAATGTCCTTTGTTCTGTGCTCCAGTCTCTGCTCTCGACACAAGGCCAGCATGGCCTTGTTGTCGACGTACAGGACTGGAGGAGAACGAGGCGGCTCTCCAAGGTCGGTCAGCAGGTAGGTGAGCCAGCGAAGCCCCTGAGCAGCCATGGCCCCTGCGTAGATCTCAGCCTCACAACTGGAGCCGAGAACAGAAGACGAGTGAGTAGCCCGCCACGAAACAGAGCCGGAACCAAGGCTGAAGGTGTAACCCTGTGACGACCACTGCGTAGCCAGGTCGTCAGCCCAAGAAGTGTCTGCGTGCCCAGTGAGGACCACTGGACTCCGCCCTCCAAGCACTAGTCCCATGCCCGATGTACTACACAAGTAGCGCAACACCCTCTTCGCTGCAGCCATGTACTCTAGTCGGTGTCTCCCAGGAGCAACATAGCGTGCAAGAATGCTAAGAGGGTATGCAAGGTCAGGTCGTGTGCAGGTCATCAGGTACATGAGACAGCCAACAAGCTCTGGGTACGGGCCACTCGACTCTACGGACTCATCCGAAGGCAGAGCTGAGAGCGAGTGGCGAGTAGACAGAGGAGTGGCCTGAGGCGAGGAGTACGTGAAGCCGAAGCGCTGAAGGACCTGCTGCACCATGTGTGACTGAGTCAGGGTAATGGTGTGGCGTGCTCTGTCCCGGGTGATTTGCAAGCCAAGGTAGCTGCGCAGTTCACCCAGGTCAGTACACGTGTGTCTCTTCTGCAGCTCGGACTTCACGTAGGCGAGTCCAGTAGTGTCTGCTGTGGCAAAAACCAAGTCGTCGACGTACACGAGAATGTAGAACGGCGGCAGAGAGGTGTCGGTGCGCAGAAACAGCGACGGGTCAGCAGTAGAAGGAGCGAACCCAAGAGCCGCAAGCGTAGTCCTCAGTGTGTCGTGCCACTCACGTGGCGCCTGGCGGAGACCGTAGACTGGACGCCGGAGACTCCACTGGGTACCAGGAGGGAAAGACCCAGTGAAGCCAGGTGG